AACTTCATAGACTTTGATTAAGCATTGGGCCTTGTATGGCAGGGAGTGCTATCGGCTGTGGTGGAGAAGTATAACATCAGCAAAAGAATCAAAACCGTGATTGAAGTCCTCTATAGAAATGTAGAGACCATGGCCCTTGCAGATGACATATTCTGACTGGTTCTGTAGACCTGTGGTAAGACAGGTGTCTTTTCTCTTTGTCAGTTCTTTGAAGGGACAGTATTACTTGAAGATAGAAAACCCCTTTACCTTTGTTTTGCAGACAATATGAATGTGATAAGAGGTGGAATGTGACCAGAGCTGGCAGATCTAGCAAGAGTAGACAGTGTTGTGACTGCCTACAGGATGAAGAGCAGTGCAGAAAAAAAGCAAAGTAGCGACAATGGGAAATTCTGTTAATCAACAAGAAATACAAATACAGTGTGTATATATCAAAGGCAAGAATATCAAACAAATGGATTCATACAGGTACCTTGAAACTACCATCACAAAAGAGAGAACCTGAAACACAAATCAGACGTAGAATTGTGACCCAGACTCCCAAAGCTAGATGAAATCTAGAAGGATAGTCTCTTCATATCATGGTAAAAGTTCTTAGAGTGGCTGTGTTCTCAACAGGCACGGCCTCCAACAGCAACAAAACAAAGAATTCTAGCCTTTGAATTCAGGTGTCTCCGAAGAATTCTTCAGCTGTAGGACTAACAACTCTATTAGAGAAGAAGGAACTGATAATTGGATCCCACGAGCCTTTACAAGCAGCAGTAAAAGGACAGAAAGTGGAATGGTTTGGCCATGTGATCTGAGCAACAGGCTTGGCTAACATGATTCTGCAGGGAACAACTGAAGGGAAAATGAAGAGGTGACACAAAATCATCACCACTGTGACACAAAAACATTTCTACCTGGACAGACAAACAGTGCCGTAGCAAGGAAGTTTGGCACCCGGGGCAAGCCCGCAGCAGGAGCCAACCCTCGCCCTGCACACAGATCTGAGGGGCACATGCCCCACCATGCTTGCTGGGAGTGCACACAGTGGCAGGAACCGCCCTCCCCCTGTCCCCGCACCATCGTGGCTCCATCCCACGCCCCGCCCCAGCTGGGCAGTGCCTGTTGGCTCCCCTTAGTTTTGGCCCCCGGGGCGGTCACTCCGCTTCCCCCCACTCCCTCCTTGCTATGGTATTGCAGAGAAATCACAGGCAGGGGTTCCCCAGAGGCTAATGACCACTTGCAGTAGAGGAAGATTACTATTGGTTCCTCCAAATGACAGCTCTGCTTATCTACTCATTCTTCTAGTGCAAGGTTTTTCAGCCTTTTTTAATAACTGCACCCCTGGCGGCCCCTCTTGTAGTAACTGTACCTGTGGGGGGAGTGGAGGTGGCGAGCAGCCAGACATTGAGTGGAGGTGCAGTGAGCGGTGGAGCAGTGGCAGTGCAGCACCTGTGCAGCCCTGCTCTCGCCCTGCCCCGGCCCTGCTCCTGTGAGGCAGTGGTGCGGGGTAGCAGCACTCCATCCCTGCTCACCCCTGCATACCCCCTGGGACCTTTCAAAGTACCCCCACGGGTACGCGTACCCCTGGTTGACAACTCTTGTTCTAGTAATAAGATGGCAATAGATAGTAAATCAGTGTATAAGAGAGCAGATCATAGGATGAAAAAAAGAGGGAGGTGTGGGAACTTGACCTCAAACACCCAGTTCCTGTCTGGAGAGTCCTAGCATCCCACAGTGCACTGCACACATTTCTCAAAACATGGCACTCTGACCAGTGTTATAGGCACATTGGCCACCCACAGTGTAATGCATTTTTTGCCAACACAATCTAGTGCTCTGAAGATGTACATCACTGGCCAAAGCAGCCAAACATGGATGCACTCTAGCAACATGGCAGTGTTGTATGCTGTCAGAAAGGTTGTGATAAAACTTTCTGGAGTAAAACTAAGTGTTGGACCTGATGTTCCTATATGAGCAGAGAACTAAATTGTACTGGGACAAGGCACCTTTATCGGGGATTTTACCAGTTTTACGCTCTTAAACAACTTAGTTGTATGTGTACAAAATGAGTGGACAGACCAAGAACAAATTACTCCCATAGCGTCTGTAACCATTTGCAAATGCAAAAGTGCACTGTTAGCTGCAGCTGCAAATTGCAAGCCCCAAATGGGTTATCTGGTTATTTTTAATCTAATATGAAAACAAGGGCTGCAAAAGCACAGTGTGAGGGGGAAAAACCTTATGAAATCAATTGAGATGTATGTGAACCAACTCACAAGCTCCCACTCTCCAGGTGCAGGTCTGAGTCTCTGGATTTGCATTGCTTTATATGTTTTTGTTTTTCTTTCCACCATTTGGAAGGATATGAGTTGTACACATTGCAAATTGCTGCTGCTAACTGCTTAATCAATATCCTTTAATAGGCAATATGATCCTTATTTGGATCATACTTGGATTTCTGGAGAATTTTCAGGGAATTGGAGAGCTTGGAGAGCTTGCTGCGCTGAAAAATGTTTTTGCCTAAAGTGCGCCATGAATTACATCTGTATGAATGATTATGATATCACTATGACAGGATGATGTTAATCTGTCCATAACTCATTTGGCACAGAATAGAATTACTGTTAAGAACGTATGATAAAGATTGTGCAGTATCTTTAAAAGCTCAGATAGACACCTTCAGCCAATACCTCTATACACAAAAGTCTGGCAGGATGGTAGGGTGAAAAGCCTTCTGATGGAGAAATGTTTGCCCAGGTAATAAGCCATGAGGGTGAAGCAGAAACAACTCTGCTGTGGATTCACTTTCAAAGGGGCTTTTAATTGTATAGGAAATATAAAGAAAAACGGGGGTCAACAATATCCAGTATAGTAGAGACCACAGCAAAGCACTCTGGGGGGGGGAAAACATGGGCCCTAGACCAGTATCACCTATGACAGGGACAATGGGAGACACCACTTTGTGTTAAGGGAATGACTGTTTGAAAGAACAACATATATGGTAAATCAGAGGAGCTGGAGGACTCTGAGGGCTTTGAATTAGGATTGATAGGGATGGTAATGCCTCACAGCCAAACTCAGAACATGTGTCTTACCTGGGGCTTATAAAAGGGAAGAAGGAAAAACAGAGCCAGAATGGAAGGAAGAGCATGTAAGCTCAAGAGGTTGTTCTGGCCTTGGTTTTACTACTCTGCTGGTGCAAACCAACCCAATGGCTGTCAAAGTAGCTTGCTGAATGTTCCCTGGGAGTCCCTGGAAGTTAATATGTAGTCAGTGCAGTCACTGCATGCCACCTACACTTAGCCACTAGTGTACAGGCAATCCTGGATTTACCCAAGATCTAGTGATCTCTGGCTGTCAGAATGACCAGAGGTATAATTTAGTATAACTCTGAGGCTGCTTCAGAGTTATACTAAATTATATAGTATAATAATAATTGCACTAGGGACCAAATCACTTTGCAGCTGGCCCCAGGATCAGGGGAGCCCAATAATAACTAAAGCCACCCTTGCCTCACCTCCGCTGTACTGAGGGTATCTCCTCTGCAGCTGGGTATGTAGGCCCCAGTGAAATCAATGGCAAAAATTGTTTGGCTTTACATAGGTCAAGATTTCATCCATAGTGTTTCATTATGGCGGACACTTTTTAGGTAACCATATCTGGATGAGGGTTGACAGTGTTTCAGAAATATGGTAAGAATATGTTTGTTTGTTTTTTGTTTTATTGATTTTTGTTATATCCTTAATGAAAGCCTAAGCAAAATCTGGGGAATAGAAAATGAAGTTTATGGTCTGGGTTCCAGTTTATCTCCATCGCTGAATTACGCTGCAGGAGATTGATGGTTCTGAATCGTGTTTGTGCACTGAAACGATGTGTTCACTCTGTCAACTGTCATCCTGGTCAGAATAAAGAGACCCGAGTCTGATCTCTCCATGCAGATTTCATACCACTCTAGCTCTTCAGAATGAAATTGGTAAAACATTGCTTCAGTCAAGTTGGGTTTCAACCCCTTGCCTTCAGTGGTATAACATGATCAACACTGGTGTACATAAGAGGGCAGTTCAGTTCAAGTTTTATAATATACATATGGCTTTGTTATGCAGGTCTTCCCAGGCCCTGAAGGTGCCAGAACAGGTAGCCAACAGCTATAATTTCACTTGGAATAGAAAAACTCAAAATGCACATTTTACCATAGAGTCAATGTTAACCAAGGAATTCCACATCTTCATAACACTACATGTGTTGTCATGTACTGTTGTTCACACTGTGAATGAAATAATAATACATATTCAACACTAGACAGTGCTTCAGTAAATGTGGCAATATTACTCTGTTTCTTGTCTCATATATTCCTGCTTTTGCTTCTTTGTTTTCATGGAAAGAAACTCTGAAGCAGATAATCAAAGAAATTGTTTTCCTGTTTTAAAACTGACCACACTGCTTTATATGAACTGTATTATATACCAAGATTGTACTGAATTACGTGATTAGAAAACTATCTAGTAAACCTTCAAAATTCAATAACTGGTCTTGCATTAGCATCTTATAACATAGAAATCCAATCTAGATTACTGGAAAGTACTGTGTATCTTGTTACAGTTCAGTAATATTCTCTCTGTGATTTTCCTTGAAGTATGCATGGTAGTAGATGGTATAATCCTTTTCTGGCTTACAACACAAAAATCAGAAATCATAATAATTTGTCAGGAATGCGTGCATAGACATATATTTGTGTTCCATTGTTTCTAGTGTTACCATAACACATTGGCTTCTCCTAAATTTACTAGTATTAAGATGGACTCTCAGTTCCTTCTACATTTTCCTGAAAAAAAATAGACTGCAGTATGCCAGCTGGAACCAGTTCTTTGAGATTTGTATTCTTCCAAACAATGGCTGAACTCCTCTTCATCCCCTGCCACTGAAACAAAGATGAGTGAGAGCCAAATTCAGCCATCTCTTTCCCATGGGGCTCTGTGAAAACCGCTGCTGAATACTTTTTTGTTTCTTATCAGTCCTGTACCTGGAGGGATCTGTCCTAGTGTTTGAGGATGTCTTCAAACTGGTAGCGTTCTACTGTGTCAGTAGGTAAGTTGTACTCATGGTTTCTGTATTGGGATTGCTTCATGCTGGGCCTAGGGTAACTCCATGCTTGAAGCTGGCCTTTACTGTCATGCAGGGGTGGAACAAAAGGGTGGTTAGCTCCTTTCTAAGGAGCTTCTTTCTAAGGAAATGCCACCTTTCTAAGACATCACCCATGTATGTGTACCCAAAGCAACCAACAGTTCAAGAGCCAGATTCTGCTCTCAGGGTAACACCAATGTAATTCCACTGACTTCACTGAAGTCAGGCTGGGTTTATGACAGGTCCACAAATAGAAGCACTTAGAACTATGAAAGCAGAGACTCTTCTTTATCCCCTTTAAGAAAGGAAGATGAGATGTGAGTGTAAGTGGGGTGCAGCTGCTATGAATTAGAGATGAGCCCAAGTAATGAAATTCTGGCCCAGAACTGAATTCACATTTCCCAGTTTTGTCTGGTTTGGTTCCAGTCCTGACGATTATACAAAGAGGCCTAGTCATAAAACTCAGACTTCCTCGGTTTTGCGTGGAAATGGTGTGTTCCCATCTCTCAAATTGCTGTCACGCTTCTACTGGCCAGTCCCAAATGCTGCACCTTACAATTGTGCTTCTACCCGAGTTGCAGTGAATTTGATGGGTTTAGCTCACATAGTCCGTATGTTCAGCCCTCATGTGTGGGTTTTTGCCACCATGGCGTGGTCTTTTGTGCTTTCACATTTGAAAAAACTAAAAGCACAGCTTCGCCAAAACCACTGGGGTTTGCTCTCGTGCATGTTGACACCTATAAGTATGTAAAACCTGTAAGTATCCAACCACAACAGTATACCTGCTCGGGTTCATGCTGAGCTCAGCTCAAGTTTGCAGGCTCCAGAACATGACTAAATTTTCAGCTCCTTGTTATTAGAGTAGGGCTAAATTGTGCAATTCACAATAGTTAGATACCTAAAACTCCCGATGACTTCACTGGGAGTTTTGTTTGAAGAAGGGCTGTGGGACTGGACCCAAACTAGTGCACAGTCTGTTGCAGAGCAGTGAATGCATAAAAGGGATTGGTGTGGGGGAGTAAGGATTAACCACCTCCTGCAAAAACTGCCAGCAGAGCTGAGAGAACTTGAGGAAAGACTGTGGTTTATGAATTTGATTGGAAGTTTAGACAAATAATAGTAAATATTTCACACTAATTCAGAATAAAACATTAAAAATGTGCCATACAAACTTTTGAGATAGAAAAGGCTTGTTATATTGTCCTTTCTGCTTTATCAGGGGTCATTCCCTATCTAATGTTAACCCTATGTAATCTAATCTATGGATCTACAGTAATTCAGTTTATTCTAAACTATGTATTTGAGCCAATTTTTTTGCAGTGGTATCAGTGCATCCTTTTTGCGCTGCTCCTGCTTTATCAAGTCTGGTTTTAAATTTGATTTAAACTGCTGGCAGTTTGAAGATAACCCTCAATCACCCTTGCAGTCCCGTAACAGTAATCACAAGAGGATAGCAGCTGCTTGGGGTATGTCTACCCTGCAGTGTAGTATAGATATATCTGAGCTAGGTTTAAATTAGCTACCCTTGTAGGTCAGGTTTTGCAGCTTGTGCTGAGTTCCATGCCACCCTGGCTGGGCTGCTGTCGATAGGTAGTTTCAAATTAGATCAGGTCCACAGCAGTAATCAATTTATGATAAGGTCACTTTATACTGTTCTGGCTGTAGAAAGGAGCCAACAATGATTGTGAGTTGTATTGCCAGTGTCATAAAACAGACTGAATGTTAATAAGAGTTGTACCCAGATTTTCTAACCATATGATCCATGGGGGGGCGGGGGGGAGTTCACAGCTGCGTTATAAACACAATAGACTATATCCCAGCTAAAGATGCACATTCTGTAACAAAGAAGAAAGACCTTGCTGTTAGTTCCTTTTTATAGAGGGTACTACAGGGTATAAAATGTTCTTTTGATGTTTTTACTGATTTGTAAGACTGCTGAAGGTAAATGGGGAAATAATTTTCTGTCAGCATTAGGTAACAAAAAAGGTTAAACACTGATTTTTTCCCCTCTGGGGAGCATGTAGAAGTCCAGTGCATGCTCCCGAATGATTGAGTGGATTGACCTCTATTCAGTCTCTAGTAAATAATAATCTATAAATAATTGGAAACAGTTTATCACTGCTGACAGTCTCTTCTCAGGAGAAGGCCAGATCTGTTCTAACATAGTGGCTAAATTACCTTGCACCACTAAAATAGTACCTATAAGTCAATGAGTGACTCGGTGACTTGCATGTAAACTGCCTGGCCTGTAAATTAAACGAATCTTTTTCTTGAAGTGCCACTGCTTAATAATGTTTTCCAAAGTCAGATCTATGCATCTCAATAATAAATTCAAGCACATGAAGAACATAGTAAGAGAAGGCCAGTACGTAACTCCCAGTTCCTCTTTTACACCCACACATTTTCCACAAAAAGAGATCCCAGCTCTAGCTCAGCTTATTAAAAATAATCAACTGACCAAGCACTCAGTGAGGCAGGCAGAACCATGGGGTATACATTACAGTCAGCAAAACGTATGCCCTTTAGAAAGGGACAAAGCAGGTCACAGCGGGTTCATCTGTCAGCAGACTAGCTCTTTTCAGAGCTGCAAAGTCATTAAGATTTTTTTTTAAACAGAGACCAACCAGTCATGAGGTTAGTTTTTTTCAAAATGACTTCCTGCTGCTTGCTGAATGGCTAGCTAAGCTTTTTAACATGTAAAGCCAGCCAGAGCCTGTGCCTCACTGCCCGTTTCACTTTATTGTTGACTTTTAAGGGCCTTATAAGGAGAGGGATTAGGTAGAAATGGTATTGCAAATTATTGTTAGATGTGAACCAAGGCAAAACAATTATCAGCAATCCCAAAAGCATCCCCATAGAGCCCAGATGGAAGGTATGTGCCTATGAATCTTGCCAACCCTCCCTGATAAATTCTGCTTTCTTCAGAAAAATTCCACACCTTCCAAAACCTCCACAAAGACTGAGAATACAGAGTTGAGGGATGCTGCCAAGTTCCCTGCCACAAGATGTTTCATTACCTCTTGTCACATCATACAATAGGCTGCTTTATCAACTTTACCCTGTAATTTAGGATCTAATTTAAATTAATCTAAATAAATAAATCTAATCTAAATTATTTTATGTGAAGGAGAGAGCTAGATTTGAAGGGATGGGAAGGGTGACAGAGGAAGGCCTATGAACCACCAAAAAGAGAATCCAATGCTAACTAATAAGTAATTGCATTGTACCTATTTGCAATGCTATAGCTTTTTCCATCCAAAAATCTCGTAATGTAATGTCACAGGGCCCCATTCAGGTTGGTCTCATTATTGCTATTTCCTGAATGAAGGAATGGAGGCACAGAGGTTAAACCACCTGAATGGCACAAAGAGGCTCACTGGGGCTAAGAATCTGCTGAAAACCAGAGTAATCTCAACTGATGCAAATTGCAGATTTCTTTGGGCATTGTCGCTAGCTAGATCTGGAATGTTAGGTGAGGTGGCCTCATGCTCCTTGCAATACTGAGAACCCTCCCATGCACCTGGCTGGTGGGCCGTGCTCAGGGGTAAGCTGATTATAAGATTTAGGGCCAGGGAGGAATTTTCCTCCAAGTTAGATTGGCAGAGACTGTTGTGGGGTTTGCTTTTGTCTGTAGCATGTAGAATAATTCACTTCCTAGAATTCTCTAGGCATTATCTACCAAATTCCCTGCAACTGTGGGGGGACCCAAAGCATTGGTGAAAGCCTTGTCTCTCCCACTCTTTTCCAGTGACCTGCTATATGGTACTGGAGTTTGGGGTGCGGAGGAGGGTGTCCAAGTGCTTTGTGGCTATGGTGTACAGAGGGCCCAGGCGAGATATGCTCATGGACCAACCCTTTTTTGCCAAATGCCTATTACATTGGAAACTTATAAACTCAAGGCACTCTATGTGAGGACTCCAGAGGTCCCTCCCACTCTTAAGTTTCTCCTATCTCTGGGGTATGTTTGGGGCTTTAGTGGCAATTAAAGATGTTCACCACTTTGCAGAACTGAGCTAGACTTACCAGCAAATCAAGTTGCTAAAAATGAACTGCAAGCTGTTTGACCCATTGGAGTTTTTTTTCCTTTCTTTATTTTTAACAGGGATTTGTTGCCCTTCACACTGAAGCTGCCACAAGCAATATTAGAGGCCAGTAGTTTCCAAGATCTTGAGATTATTTCTAGCCTGGGGATAGGTAAGTCTTTTAAAACAACATTTGCTTTGCACAAAGTTATGAGAACCTCTTCACTGAAAAGGCTGGTGGACTTCCTATGATAAAACAGCTCTTGGAACAGGTGAAGAAGCCCAGATGCAGAGGAGATGGATTCTGTTTCCTTCACAGCAGAAGTGTCAAACTACGGCCTGCAGACTGGTTCTGGCTGGGGTCCATGTGTCTGACCCTGCCTGTAGACTGGCCTTGCATCACTTACCCAGCCCACGGGACCAGATGAGTTTGACATCCCTGCTATACGTATATCTAGATATGCTAAAAGGGGTCTCTGCCCATGCCCATGCATGTCTGACATTACTCATCCCCTCTCTATCCTTTTGGCCTGTTTGCCAGATGTATAAACTGCACTCCCGCTGATTAGAAGTTGTAGGCATTAAGTAACATTCCAACATAATGACTGAGTGCCCTGGCCCCATCCAGGATAATTGGCAAATATTCAATTTAGTTGGAAGCCCAAGCAAATGGAAAGATAAAACATCCCCCATCCTCCAGCAGTTCACTGCCTTCATATATTCCCCTTCTCTAGTGTGTGGGAAGAAAACTATAAACAGTGAAGCCTCTGCATTTAATCTGATCCATCACTACTCAACTCGGGTGTGGCAAATGCGTGTGTCGTGTTGCTTGGTGTCAACCTGATAAAGAGGATGTTTTCTGCATATGAAAATGAATGTTGCTTTTAATGACAGGACTGCACACTAACTTTCATCTTGGGATTTCAAACACCCAAGGCTGAAGGTGGGGAGGGATTTTTTTCATGGTGAATTTCAAGTGGTTATTTCAATATCAGGAGTCTATGTAGTTTTTTTGCCAAATCTGTATATTCAACATGGATGAATTCTTAGCCTGTCAGTTCCTTGGTCAGAAATATAAACTGTAAAATCTATTTGTTTGTACCAACCAGAATCATCATTGTGGATGGGCCAGTCATGCATGATTTCTACCTTTGTGCTTTTAAGGGCATGGGAGTGCTTGGAAGGCCCTTGCTTTATAATAAGCCCCTGCCAGATGTGCAGGTAAAGGTGCAGTGGGATCTGATACCTGATCTACGCAATCACATTTCTGTCATGCCACACATGCATGGCAGGAGGCATGATTGCAGGATTGAGCATCAGATCCTATCACACCTTATTGCCAGTGCACATTTTATTGCCAGGCTCACAGTTTCTGTATCATCCTAAACCAGCAAATAGCAAGTTCCCATGGCTGGAAGCCCTGTCAGCTGATCCAGGCTCCCAGCAAGGGGGTGCACTAGCAACTAACAGCGCTCCCAGGCACAGGGGCCTACATGGCCACATGTTCAGTTAAAGACCTGATAAGAACCAGCAACAAAGTTACTACACATTTTGGTGGAATAACTGTGTATTATTTCTTGTTTTATGGCATCATTTAATTGCTTTAACATATGGCTGGATTACAATTTAAAACATAATTAACTGGTTCATCACATTTTAAATGCAGTGTGATGCAGGGGCCATAACAGTCTTGCCTGTTGTGCCTGGAGGCTTTGAAAGCTGCTCTAAGTGTGATCACTAATATCAGCTAATGGTGTGCTCCTTTATGGCAAAAGCACCTTGCCTGCTTTTGGTTCCTGGTTCAAGTTTGAGCAAGGATAAACCCTTTAGTTCCCAGGCATTTTTTACTGTTTTACCCAGCTCCAAATTAGCAACCCACTGCCACCTGGAGCAAAGCCATTCTGAAAATAAAGTACTTCAGAGACTGCCAAGACTGAAGGATGTGATGTTCTAGCACCTCTTTGTTCGCAGGGCTCTGTGTTGCTGGTATACTTTCCCTGCTTTGCAAGAGAGCTGGTGCTTAGTGGCCACAAGGTACAGGAATTTTATGCTCTTCAGGAAATTGGTCAACCCAGAAATTTGATCTGGTGTCTGACAGGCCTGAGCAGATGTCTGTTACTCTGCAGTCTACATGTGCCTGTGAAGGAGATTTTGTACACCTAGTTGTTTAGATAGCAGCTGTACTTAGACACTTCATTTGTCTCATCCTACTCAGGTCTGTGCTCTGTTAGCTGAGCTAGAACTCTGGCTAAGCAACTCAGATTCCTCACTGTTAAACCTACTTCTGCTAAGACAAACTTTGTATTCAACACCTTGCTCCTGCACTAGTTTCAGCTTTTCTTCTGCTGAAGAACTTGGCTGGGTTTTTTGGTTTTTTTCTAGATTATC